TCTGTTCCCCTTTCGGGCTTGAACTGATGGTAAAACTAATGATTATGATTATAATAATTATTTACTGTCTTTACATTTATTTTGAAAAATGAAGCTCGCGATTATGGTAAGGGGCGTTACATTTCCGACTAGTGCTTGCGGTGTTCGGCCAATCACAATGCACTGGGTCAGCTGGCCAATCAGAGCAGACTGCGCTTGTCGGAAGGAGGGACTTTGTAGAAAACGAAGCGTTTGAGTGAGGCGGGGCTTAGAGGACCTACAATAATGTACAGTATTTGAAAAATAATGTGTTTTTTGAACATTAAAGCATGTCAACATATTCTGTTACACCAAATACACAAAATAATGATCTTTAAAAAAGCATCATATAACCCCTTTAATAGTCCTAGCATAATATGAATGCTGAGAAGAGGTTAGGGGAACAAAAGAACAAACAGCATCAAATACCACTGAATAATGATCGGAGATGCCTACATCTGAAACCTCTAAATTAGATACAGAAAAGTCATATGACAATACAAGATCTAATGTGTGACATTTCTTATGAGTAGGACCAGAAACATGTTGTATTAAATTAAAAGACTCAATAAGAGAAAGAAATTAATTAACCAGTGGCTACATAAATGCACATTAAAATCCCCAATGACCAAAAGTTTATCATAGCGAGACACCAGTCCAGACAGAAAATCAGAAAAATGGTGGATGAACTCATTATTGAGTTTAGGAGGTCTATATATTTAGGCACAAAAAAAAAAGAGTCCAAAGAATCAATCTTCAACAATTGTACCTCGAAGCTACACATTTCTGTGGATAGCAGTCTACATTTAAAACAATCTCGAAAAACAGTAGCAACACCACCTCCACATCCTGAGGTCCGAGGGGAATTCAAAACGTCACAGCCTGGTGGTGTCAAATCACCCAGAGACATCTGATTCAACCAGGTCTCAGTAATAAATAAAAAATCCAGCATATGCAACGTTAAAATGTCATTCAGAATAAAAGCCTTGTTTGATATGGAACGTGCATTTAAGAGACCCATTTTATAGAAGTTCTGTCTTTTCCTGTGGAGCATTGGCTATATATTTTAGCACACTAATACCATTAACACCTTGTTTCACATCATGTAAACCATTCGAAGAATAGCGGTGTGAGGACCAAATGACCAGAATGACTTATAATTAAAGACTGTAAGTTAACAGTTTTATATTAAATTATAGTTACTGTGATTCAACCAAGTAGTTTATTTTTTACATTTTTTTTGATTTTCACATATTTTTTGCTTCAAATGTTATAATGTTTCAATGAAAATATATTGCATATTTAAGGAAACAGCAATTCTCTTCAAATAATAATTATAATTATAAACTCAATTATAGTTACAATTATAAACTCATAATTTTATTAATATATTATCATTTAAATACTAATAATATTAAAATATATTAACTCCAAATATATAATATTTATTATTTACTTTATTATTAATTGCAATTGACAATCAAATCAATCTGCTGCCATTTTTTTCAGTTGATTTTTGTTTAGGTTTTCATATACCTTTTGCTCTAAATCAAATGCTATAATGATGCATAGAAAATAAGTTGCATATTTGTTGAAATCAGAGCAAGTTTCTTCAGATAATAATAATATTAGTCATTTCAAATAATAATAATAATTTACGTATATACTCTATTTTCTTCATATATTATCATTGAAATATATTAGTTCTCATCAAATATAAAATATTTATTAATATTATTTATTATTAAGTGCAAATTACGCAACCAAAACAACGTTGTTGTTGTTTTATTTTTTATTAAGTAGTTAATTTTTTTGTTCAGATTTTCATACTCTTTTTACTCAGAATTGACTTTTTTGTGATTTCTCTCAGAAGTGGCTGGTTTGAATTTTTTTTTGCTTTTTTTGAACCCCTATGGAAAACATCAATGGGGGAAAAAATCTTCCGGAATCAAAGCTGCTAAAAAAGTAGATGATCAGCGTTGCGCTCTTTTAGCCCACAAGGATATAAACACAAATCTGAGTCAATTCTCAAATGCAAATACATGAGCTTCACTTATTAACGCACACTTTCTTACTCACAGGGCTTTGCAGGAGACTGGAAATTCGTTTCTTGAGGCCGCTGGACGGCATTGACTGCTGGGGAGACTGGATCATTTCTCCCTCCAGACACTCCCCATCTACAGGACTGTGCTGGACCGGAGTCCCTTTAGGGGTGGGAGTTCTACTCATCTTCTTTCTCCCAGTGTGGTAAAGAGGAGAAGGAGGATAGAAGGAAAACAGGCAAAAAAGGAAAGGATAGGCAAAGCAGGACCAAGCGAGATGGCTGGAAGGGAGCAAGCAAAAAAGAAATACAATATGAAAATTATTCAGTTATAATCTGGAGTTATGTTAATGAAAGATCCTTATGCACATCATGGAAGAGTTTTATTTTACATATATGTGCATGAGAAGGACATATAGGCATGTTTGCATATTAATATTAGACGCACGTGCAAATGCACACAGGCAGGCCTGCAAAAACTAGATAAGTATTTCTTCACACCACACCCAAAGTCACGTGGAGG